AAAAAAAAAAGCGACTACCTCACAGAGTAGCCATGATCATTTACTCTCACTTGCACTTAAAAGACAAAGAAAAATAAAACACAGACTGAGGAAAATAAAGAGCATTCAAAATGATTATGACGATTTTTTCACCAAAAGCGGTTTTAAAAAATAGGTAAATAAAAAATTTTTGAATGTTAGGCCATTAAAAGCCTCAAAAGTGTTAACCTCACATAGCTGAACACAAAGTTTCGACACTTAATGACAGGTACAAATGATTCCTCTTTCTTACTTTATTCCTTCCAGCAATTTAAAAACGCGAGAGCTTATAAAAACCGGTCTCAAACCCGCAGCTATGCATTTCCAAACTGTTGTAATATTTTGATGCTCAAAGGAAAACACTGTCATAAATGACTAATTTTTTTTTGGACAACGATATCATTAGACTTCTAAAAACCAACGTTAAATCTTCATCGATACTCAACAATGCGAGAAGCGTAGACGTGCAATTTCCTCCATAACTGTTATTTTACTCGTCCAAAAAAAGAAAGGAAAAACATCTGAGTTGTCACTACAACATTAGTTGTTAACCGATTCGAAGTATTATTACACTTCCATTGCTTCTGATTCTTTCGAGAGCAGAACTTGTGAAACACCTAAACGCGTAAAATGCCAAATCCGCTTGGATAAAAAATGAAATGAAATACCCTACAAAACAATAAAAGAAATAAATTCCAAATTCATCTCTAGCTTAAATTTCTAAAACTAAATTTTTCCTTGAAACACAAGAAAAAAAAACAAAAAATGAAGAAAGCTGATAAAAATATTATGAAAATATTACTTGATATCATGGCAAAAACCTCAAAACAATTAAAAACACTTCGCTTATCTTTGGTACTAATAGCTTCTAGATCTTTATCACAGATTAGAAAATTTAATAAGTACTTTTCTAACCGAGTTTAGCGGTGGATGTCCTGTAAACAATGCTGCTTTCGGCATACTTTCAAAAGTGAGCATTTTAAATCATCTTACAGCCTTCTAGCTTTTTACATAGCCACTAATGCATTTCATATCGTAGGGTAAAATTTTAAGTTTTATATAAGAAGATTTTCTACCCTTGAAAGCTGAAACATTTCTGAAAAAAAAAAATAAAAAAAAAAGAACTGTCACCTCGTACATTTTATCCTGAACGTCCTATTGGCCTTGAAAATAAAGTTGAAGTTCCCAGAACACGAGATATATAAAAAGCCCTTCTTCAGGAAAAAAAGAAAGAATAATGTGACCCATCCCCGAAGACAAATTATTTTTTCTATGTGTTTTTCGGCATTTAATTCTGCTTCTCCCAGACTTACACCTGAACAGCAAAAAGTTTTTCAAGGCTTTAAAAAAGGAAACTCCACTGATTTATCAAGAGCTTTCAGTAATGACTTTTTAAAATTACTAAACAATTGCTGCTTTCATACAATGGTTGGGATCAGCAGTTCGTGCAAGTCGTTTGCAAGTTGTGCTAAAAATATTGAAAAAAAACGCTATCTCTCAGATAAAAAATAATTATCGAAGATTTTAAAAAATAGCACAGAAGAAATGTGAAGATATTATTTAAAATTTTTCACAATATCCTCCTCATTAATTCTTCTACTTGTTATCAAATTCACACAACTTTGTTTCTTCCTCCTTTGACTTACTCCAGCACCAGTACATTGACAAAAAAATTCACGGTCACCCCCATAAGAAGTGATGAAGCAACAACAATAAACGCTTATAATTTCAAAAAAGCTTGACAATTTTATCTCTTCGGCAGTCACGTAAAAACCAGAATTGGTGAAACAAAACCATTATAACAAAAAAGATATCAGGAAAAATCTGGACCTAAAAAACCTCCAAAAATTTGTAAACACAAAGCCAAAAGTGCACGGGAGGAAAAAAGAGCAAAAATATGTAATATTCAGGAGACGAATAAATATTTAAAAAACTTACTAGACCTGATCCGATGTTTTCCTTCTGATAACTAACATTCATGCTTGCATACACGTGAACATATAAAGAAAGCTGATTTATCACTACACTTACTCGTAGAAGAACGTATAAAACATCAAATTTTGAACCAATCAGAGTTTTCTTCTTTATTATTCTGCTCTTCGATAGTAAATGAGAATAACTACCATATTACTTGTATAATATGTCACGCAAGAAAAGCATTGAAAATGTAGGTTTTCGTATCAAACAAGAACTATATTTGCATAATCAAATAAAAATTTTTGAATAATAATTCTTCGTAATCACTGATGGCTTGACGCTACCAAGATACCGAAACTCAAGACAAATAATTTCTACAACCTTTTGCTCCTCTACTCTTAGCCTTCATTCCTCCAACCTAAATGTATGAAAATTACTTCTTTATTGCTCTCGATTCATAGCCTACCTTACTTTTAACACGGAGGATTCAAGAACTGTTAGCTAGTTTTCCCTGCATACGATTAAAAACAGTTGCATAATTCAAATAACTCTATTTTGCGTGGTATATTTTCATTAGGTAACGCTTAATGAATACTCTGGCTAACCAAAGTACCTCTGGAATTTCAGTCCAAGTTCTTGAAAAGATCATTCAGCAACAACAGATTTTGCCAAAAGATACTGTTTAGTCGAATTTTTAATGACGTTATCGTAACAAATTTTTTATAGATTTCAATGACGCAATTGTCTTGAAAAAAAAATTTTTTTTTAATCCTCTAGCTTCTTATTAACCAGCTTTATTTACCGAGATTTATGATAATACCATACATAATAAAGCAAAAAGTTTGTAAAAAAACTGGTAAATCGCATATTTCACAGTGTATTTATCGTGTAGAATTCCCAAAAGCTCATGAATCACTATAACAGAAAGTCCGCAGAAAAGAAATTTGTTAACCTTGAAAAAAAAAAAACGATAAAAAAATCACGTTAATTTAATGACAATTTAAAAAGTTTCTGAGCCAATACTCTGCAAAACGATCGCCACCATAATCAGTATCAAATCTGCATCGGCAGCAACGGCAGGCAAAATAAAAACCCTGAAGGAAATCGTTCACTACAGTGGCAACTTGCCAGTTGAAAAATTTCTGCTGAAATTTGTCAATCAGATTGATATATATATAGTGCATTAGTTTACTATAATATATATACGAATGTTGCAGTCCAGGAAACAAGCCCTAAAATTGTAGCACTTCAGAACCGCTTAAGCATCGTTGTACACCGAGTAAAGTTTTCAAAGGATTGTTAGGGGGCGGAAAGGTTTATAGTTGCCAATGTTGGACTTGGTGGGATCAAATGTTGTCATTGCGCGATACAAGCTGGCGTTTTGCTAAGGGTATTAAAATACTGTATCGGTCACAACGGGATATTGCTGACGGAACACTAATTTTGAGAATGCATACAAATTATGGATACTACTGGAGGAGGACTTCGATAGTCGTTTAGTGTCTTACCAGTCATTACCAGTGATAACTGCGTGTTTACTGTTTTCAGTTTATTTCCATTTTTTTGTCTTCTAACACACCTCATGTTGATAATCTGTACACACCTCATGTTGATAATCTGTAAAGCTACGAAAGACTACCAAGACTGGTACTTCACTCCGTTTACCGTTGGCATAATGCGTTTTACACAACTACTTATCAAATGATTCTTTGTCAATTTGTTGTTATTTGCAAAATCTAGCTTCATAGAAAACATTTTCCTCACATGTTTGTTAGCGTAAATCTGTAACTCAGTTGGTTTTCGTTGCATCAATTAAAATTTAAAATTTTAAGCGAAATTGCTCTCAACTTGAGTTCCTTGGATACAGAACAGCTGCTAAAGTGGCATTGAGTCTAAAAATATCGTCACTCTGCGTTCATTTCTTCGTTCGCTTTTCCGCTCGTGTAAGCTTTTGCTTGGGAACTAACGATATTATCCACGTTTGCAGTTCATTTTCTTAACAGGTTCAAGGCTAGTAATTTTTTCTTACATTTCATCTGTTCAGCTTTGAATTAAGAAAAGAGAGTGGATGTTTCAGTTTTGTCTCAGCAAGCTTGGAATAGGGCGGGACAGTTAAAGAACTTCAAAGATTTAAGACTTTTGTTTTGAAATAGAGGAAACAAACTACTTAAAAGGCGTATAACATATAAAAAGGTAATCATCCGATTTTTTCTTATATTTGTTGGGGAGCGACAAGGAATGCTTTCATTGTGGGTGGTGCACTGGATTTGCACCAGTTTTATTCAAAAATCCTTTTGTCAATAAGTTACCGCTTTTATTGAACGATAAATTAGAAGTTGATTATTTTCAGTGCACAAAAACTGGTTCATTAGTGAGTC